AGACAGACGGACAGACAGATTAGAGGAGGTACAGAAAGATGCACATAAAAAAGGAAGTTTTAGAATAAAAAATCAGAGATGGGAAACTCCTTCCACTTACAGAAGTAGATTTCTCCCAGAAAACTTTCAACACAAGTAAACAATTAAAATGCTCAATGAAACACAAGATAACAGGGTATCAATTTATTGTACACTTTTTTGTGAACCATTTGTGTACACATATTATTATTTCTCTTTACATCTTTTTAAAAAATCATTTCAAACTGTCTACTCTCATTTGAATCACGCACACACACCCACTCACTCATACAGGCATGCACAAACACACAAAGCGCATTATAATTGGTATCATAAGCTACCATGACAATATTCATGTCCTGTCACAAATCATACACATATTACATATACACACATCATTCAAGGCAAGTTGCAATGCTGAGTGAGACAGAAAGAAATAACATTAACGCACAGATTCAAACATACTCGTAAAACAAAATACACAAAATGTTTCTCAAGACTTCCCATCGAATGTATGCCAACATTTTCTTGACAGTGACAGAGTAAGTCTTAAAGTATATTGCATTCTTCTGTCTACTCTCCATTAGGAAGTGACTACGTAGGTAGCAGATTCCAACAACACACAAAGTCAAAGTCTGACCGGCACACATACATACATAACACTGTACATACTACATGGGGCGTCGAGCGGTCAATGTACTCCTCCAACACTGTGTATGTGGGGCAATCTGACAGTCACAATCACACAATCTGACCGTCACAATCACACAATCTGACACACAATCTGACTGACAGACACACACACACAATCTGACAATCACAATCACACAATCTGACTTTCGCAAACACACAATCTCACCGTCACAAACACAAACACACAATCTGACCATCACAATCATACAATCTGATCTTCAAAGTCACACAATCTGACAGTCATAAACACAAACACACAATCTGAGAGTCACAATCTGACTGACAGTCACACACACACAATCTGACAGTCATAAACACAAACACACAATCTGACAGTCACAATCTGACTGACAATCACACACACACAATCTGACAGTCATAAACACAAACACACAATCTGACACACAATGACACAATCTGACCATCACAAACACACAATCTGACACACAATCACACAATCTGACCATCACAATCATACAATCTGACCATCACAATCACACAATCTGACCATCACAAACACACAATCTGACAGTCACAAACACACAATCTGACAGTCAAAAAGACACAATCTAACAGTAACAAACACACAATCTGACCGTCACAATCACACAATCTGACCATCACAAACACACAATCTGGCAGTAACAAACACACAATCTGACCGTCACAAACACACAATCTGACCATCACAAACACGGTCATTGTCAGTTCGCGTCACAAGACCAACAGTGCTTTGTCATCGAGCACTGCGTAGTTGAACACATTCCTGAATTCTTTCTATTTTCCTCCTCTGTCTATCACTGTATGAAGAGGCACACATTCCTGAATTCTTATTTCTATTCCCCTCCTGTCGACTCTCGCAGATGAGCAGGCTTCCTTTTCCTGTTTCTCTTTCTCTTCGCCTTGCCAACTCCTCCTTCTTTCACTCCTGAACTAGGATTCTTCTGAGGTTTCTTTTTCTTCATACACGACAACGGATTTGGTCCTCCCTTCTTTTTCTTCTTTCTCTTTTTCCCATCCGAGTCATTCACAAGCCCCAATTCTTCATTCATTTTGGCAATCGCTTTCTCTTGTCGCTCTGTCAGACCCAATTTCTGGGCAGTTTTATCCTCAGCTGCATTCCAAGAAGATTCCGGAGGATTCTCTAAGTTGATGGAATTGTGCGAGATGTGAAGCAGGGGAATGTGGTGAGGTCGTAACTTCTCTTTGAGCTCCTCGTCCTGGAGACAAAATATACACACGGATCAATTAACTGATTCCGTCCGTGATTTTTTCAGGCTCTGGACAGAATTATTTTTCCCTGTTCAGTTTTAGACCTGGGTGCATCTATTTAATGCATTACTGTGAAGCTCTAAGTTACTCTAATATGTATTGTCATATACCAAACTGATGGGAATAAATAGAAGAATCTGTTTCTATCAATAACAATGACCTATAATCTGTTTGTATTGCATTTTCCTTCTGACAAAAACGAATGAGAAAAAAAATTGCGCAACAGCTCTTCGAAAATTTAGACTTACCGCATTTTCTCAGCTCTACAAGTCCTTACAATCAATGGGGATCAACACAACATTGTAGCGATATCACCCTAGCACACATTTATGCAAGAATTTCACAAATTTAGTGGAATATCTTTCTTTGAAGAGCCTTTTTATTATACCAGGCTCCATGTTGTTTACCCTTAGATCTAGCCTACATCGCAACAACAAAACAATGATTTTTGCAAGAATTTCGCAGAGTTTCTATCGATGTTGGTGCTCAGAGATTGAGGTCAGGTTTGTTTACAAGTTCTACTTCCTTTCGACAACTTAAAAAGTAGGAACTATGTTAAAAAGTGCACCTTTGCTTCAGATTTCGTTAAGCCGCTCACAGCGGCCGAATGGAGGCAGCGGAAAAAGGAAAAACTCAGAGCCGCTGTCTGCGGCCGAATGGACGGAATCAGTTAATTCTGCTTCTTGTAAGATTTGCACATCAAAACGTATTACATATTTTAAAGGTTAATTTTAGTTAAATTTTCAGGCACTTGCGACACAAATAGGCCATGTAAGTGCCAAAGATTAGAGATGCTACTAGAGACTAACGTACAAAGAAAAGGAGGAAAGGTAAGGACGATAGATGTTTGATAGGAAAGAAGGAGCAAACCACATCAGAGCACCCGACAACCAACAAACACCCCCACCCCCTCGCCCCGATACATACAGTTAAAGCTGTGTAAAACTGCCATCCATTGTCAAGAAGAAAAGTGGCCGTATAACAGAGGTGGCCGTCTTAGGCAGGACTGATCAAAATAAAGAAAGCAAATTATCATTTTATTCCAAGGTCCAAACAAGGGCTGATCTCAGGCTTTAGACTGCCGTAATTTTACAGTTAAATTATATAGAAAAAACACTAGGGGGAGAAATGGAAAGTGGTCGTTTGTACAGGTGGTAGTATTATACAAGTGGCCGTCATGGCAGCTTCAACTGTACTTACAAAGACAAACAAAAACCAAACATTTCCACAATTGGCATGAAAACTGAACACTGTAGTCAAACCAGCCACCTGTACAAGAAAATCACCTGCTCTAACCGCCACCTATATAAGACAATCGCCTGCTCTAACCACCACCTATATAAGACAATCACCTGCTCTAACCGCCACCTGTACAAGAAAATCACCTGCTCTAACCGCCACCTGTACAAGACAATCAGCTGCTCTGATGACCACTTCCTACCCCCCTCCCCCCCCTTGTTTATTCTTGCATTATAAAGACACTGTGTTTTGTTTTGTTTTTGTTTGGGTTTTTTTAAAGTGTTTTACGGCGCTCACAATTGCATAAGGTCATATGAACGCGCGGGACACATTAAACATTTTCAGTTCGTAGGAAAATTTGAATTTTGCCCGCATGGTCCAAAATCGATAAGAGTAGCGGGCAAAATTCAAAATTTCCTACCAATTGATAATCATAATGTTTAATGTATCCTGCCCGCTCATACGACCTTATGCAGTTGGGAGTGCCATAAAACACTCACCAAAAAAAAAAGGAGAAGACTAGACGACACCCGTGACCTACAGTGAACGTGGACAATTAGCAGTGGGCTCTATGGACAAGACAACTTTTTTTGTTTTGTTTAGAGGGGTTTTCTGTTCCATGTCCCTTTTTAGGGCACCATGTTAGAGATCTCATCTGTGTCAGACAATCCTTGACAGTGAGAATGAGAGTAAGTAAGAACAAGGTTTTTCCCCCCCCAAGGGGGGTTTTTCTTTATTAAGAGTCTCTTTCTTTTATTTCTCCCTTCTTGTGGTCTCTATAATTTGAGGTTTCTCTCTCTTTTGGTTTTTGCCCCCTATTTGCCCCCCCCCCCCCCCCCCCCCCCCCCCCCACCGGCTGTCCCAAGACCAGAATTTGGAGTTATTTATATGTGTGTCACTGACCCTATCCATTAACAAAGGTTGGACGAGATGACCCACTGACCTGTGTGGCGACCATGAACTTCTTCTTCCCCGCGGTGGCCGCTCGGATCAGACATTTGGGCGCGCCTTTAAACCAAGAGTGAGGGCATTCTTCTACGTCGTACTGTTTGAGAACTTTCAAGGGGCCGTAAGTCAGGGTCTCTGAGGAAAGATAAACTCTCACGTAGAGGTGGCAGTGAGGGAGAGAGAATGGGGAGAGAAAGAATGAAAGAGAGAGAGAGGGGGAGAGAGAGGAGGGGGGGAGGGAAGGAGAGAGAGGGGGAAGGGGGAGAAAGGGAGAGAGAGAAAGACAGAGACAGAGAGAGAGAGAGAGAGACAGAGAGAGAGAGAGAGAGAAAGAGGGGGGAGAGAGTAAAAAGAAAAGAGAGGAAGGGAATAAGAGATAAAAGAGAAAGAAAGAGGGAAAGGGAGAGAGAAAGAAAGGGGGAGAGAGAGGGGGAGAGAGAGAGAGAGAGAGAGAGAGAGAGAGAGAGAGAGAGAGAGAGAGAGAATGGTCAATCTGCATCAGGCTGCCTAGGTGTGATGATCATGGCTCGCAGACTCGTGCTTGGGATAAAAGCAGATTTGTGGCGTCGGTAGTCTGATGGTTGTGCTACTGGACTTGCAACTGTGAGGTTGCCAGTTCAGCTTTAAAATGGCAGCTTTCACTGTATGTTCCCAGGAAGTTGAGATTGTTTCAGAACGCTATCAGGTCTGCTGGGATAATTGTACAGATTATGAAGCATCGAGAATTTGCGCTACACAAATGCTATCTGCTATTACTATAACTGCACACAGCAAAGTGGGCATCAATGTGCAGGCTGTACATATAACTCTGGCAGTCAGTTCGCTGGAGGGGTTGAGGGGCAAATTTACATAAGCAAGGACCATACAACTTCGGCAGTTGGTGGTTTAGACCATACAACTTCGGCAGTTGGTGGTTTAGAGTGGCAAATAGTATGTATGTTATTATAGACATTTCTTTTTGTGCACTGGCAAAACCTGGCGGAAAGGACAGATGGTAAGTCTCAGGGTGGTTGTGACTGTAAGCTGGACTGATGGTACATCTCAGTGTCTTCTTCTCAATGACAGCAGCTAGACAGTCAGTCCGATGTCGCGCACAAACTGTGCAGTCCGCTTCAAATCTGAGAGACTGCCATAGAGCTTTCTCTCAAGAAGAGTCACATTCTGCCACATGATTGTAAGCTAGACTGATGGTACACCTCAGTGTGACTGTAAGCTGAACCGATGGTCCTGGACTGATGGTATAACAGGGTGTAACAGTAAGCAGGACTGATGGTACAACCGGGTGTGACTGTAAGCAAGACTGATAGTATAACGGGGTGTGACTGTAAGCAGGACTGATGGTATAACAGGGTGTGACTGTAAGCAGGACTGATGGTATAACAGGGTGTGACTGTAAGCAGGACTGATGGTATAACGGGGTGTGACTGTAAGCTGGACTGATGGTATAACGGGGTGTGACTGTAAGCTGGACTGATAGTATAACGGGGTGTGACTGTAAGCTGGACTGATAGTATAACGGGGTGTGACTGTAAGCTGGACTGATAGTATAACGGGGTGTGACTGTAAGCAGGACTGATGGTATAACCGGGTGTGACTGTAAGCAGGACTGATGGTATAACGGGGTGTGACTGTAAGCAGGACTGATAGTATAACGGGGTGTGACTGTAAGCAGGACTGATGGTATAACCGGGTGTGACTGTAAGCAGGACTGATGGTATAACCGGGTGTGACTGTAAGCTGGACTGATGGTATGGGGTGTGGTTGAGCTAGGTTGATGTATTGTGTGATCCCAGCACATCATTATCTTGACCAAATGAACTAGACAAATTCACCAAGAAATAAACTGACAAGGTTTTCATTAAATCCCCATAATGTAGCAATAATAATAATAAAAATAATAGTAGTAATAATAATTTTTTTTAAAAATAATAACAACAACAATACAAACAAACATCGTTATATCGCACCCCCGTTATACCACCACCTCTACTCACCGCCAGGTTTTGCCAATATATGAAAAGGAGCGCCTTTAAAGAAACATAGTTCTTACGCCTTCACACCGCAATCCACCAGCTGTCTGAGTTGTACAGTCCTTATTTAACTTATGTAAATAATATGCCCCGTTGTGATGCCAGAGATACACTGCACATGTCGCACAACACCCACTGGTTGGCTACTTGATGCTCTCCCCTTCACTAGATAGAGAGATAGAACCGCCAGCCCCACTGTTCCGCCAGCCTCTCATGCTCGTACGTCCCAAGGGTGGCCGTATAATGAGTTTTGACTATGATGATAATAATAATAATAAAATGTTACACTTTTCACAGTGAGTATCTTTTCTACCTTGCCAAACTGGATGGTTGGAGGGTTCTCGTTTTTTTTTTAAAAGCATAAAAAGATGGAAAGAGCCATACCTCCCAACTCCATTTCTTTGATAGCACACTTGGTGGTACATAATTTGACCTCAGCATTGAGATACTTTGGGAGCTGTTCTGCTATGTTGATTTTGTCGGTGAGTGCCCGCTTAGCGAAGGAGCCACACACCAAGACTCGATATGGTGGCTTCAGACCAAATGTGTGGAAGTACAATTTCAAAATTCGCTTTGCTTTCTTGTACCGTGGCTTCATTCTGTAAGGTTTTGCAGTCGGTTAAATTCTGTAGAAAACAAAAGAGGAATCTGTTCAAGAGATCTCATTTCAATTTAGTAAGAATATTTTTTCTTAATTAAAATTTTTAGTAAGAGGTTCACAGCACTTGCAACACAGTAAGGTCATATAAGTGCCAAAGATTAGAGGTGTTACAAGAAAGTAACAAACACAAAAAAGAGGGGAGAAAAAAAGGATGATGGATGTTTGATAGGAAAGAACAAGCAAACCACACCAGAGCACCCACAGTAAGAATTTTACGTCATTGTCATCACAAATAGGTCATGATATTATAAGTACCGAAGTGGAGAGTTGTTACAGGTGAGTTACATGCAAAAGGAGGAGAGCTAAGGAGGAACGTTTGATAGGGAAGGAGTAAAACACACCAAAGAACCCGCCAACCACCCACAATCAAGGGATCACAAATAAAACAACTGCACATATGAAAAAGCAGAAAACACAAAATTCCCCCCCCCCACTAAAAAGAATGTTTCAAAATGCAGAAAAATATGTTTATTTTCCCCCCACATTTTTTCTTGGTGAAACGTGGAAGGGTGTTTCACACAAAATTAAAATCAGAGGTAATGGGTATTGAAATTTAATACAAAAGGGAACAGGATAGTTTGTAAAAAAAAAATTAAGGAAAGAAAGAGAAATAGAGAAGAACGAAGGATTATTTGGAGAGAAAGTACAACCATAGAAAAACTTTCTACAGGGAAAAGGGTCTTGGAGTAGAATTATTAATCAACAAAAGTCACAACTGTTTTATAAATCAGGACCTTATGAAATAGGCCTTTCTATTAATCTAAGGAGATTCAAAAATAAAGAGCAAAGAGCATTCAGACTCAAAAGCATTTCTGCCATATTGACATATTGTTTCAGTCCAGTTGTACGGTAGTTTAGACAAAACAAGGAGGAAAGTGAGGCCAAATTTATCGTGATCCCCTGACCTAACAAGCGGTGAGGAGAGCCCACTTTAGAAAGAACAAGGGTGATCTTGTAGTTCCGTTAAAGTCCACGATCCATTTGTTTACATCCAGAGAAGAAATCCAGAAGTCTTGATGACCAAATACTATACTTTGAAATAGGCTACACAAAGAGTAGGGATGCAACCTAACTGGAAAACATCAAGTTAGGATAAAATTCAGGGCATGCCCCCCTGAAACCCCACACCTCCGGGGCCCCTCGATGACGTTGATGCTACTACTACTACTACTGCATTGTAACCCCGTACAGATGGAAAGCTGTACTGTAAAACGTGATTAGATGTAGGCCTACCGGTATCCACCAATAATGTGGATTAAGACGACGACAAGCACAGAATGTTATAGTTTTCGGCCTAGATCTAGATTTAGATCTAGATATCTAGATATCTAGATCTAGATCTAGAAATCTAGATCTATTTCTTGTTTATAACTGTAGGCGTAGACTCTTTGCCTATATAGAATTAGACTTCAAGAGATTGATTCAAATTTTAAATCCTTTCCCAGAGAGATTTTTACTGATGGTGAGAATCACGCTGATGAAATGAACAGCTTACCTTTCTTTGAACTTAGTGTTGGTCGACACAGCGAAATCCTCACGTTGTTGTTGGTACAGTGGGGAGTGGGGAACTGGAGGTCTGTGGGGAGCAGTTGTCAGCAGTAGGAAATTGACTAGATCTAGGAACTAAACGTGATTATTATGATTATTACTGATGTGTTTTCGTGTTTTCTGTTGGGCTGGAGTAATGAATAGTTGTCTTTGTTTTGTTTTGTTTTTTGTTTTTTTGTTTGGTCATCATCATCATCGTTATCATAATAATAATAATAATAATAATAATAATAATAATAATAATAATAATAATAATAATAATAATAATGCTGATGATGATGATGATAATAATAATAATAATAATAATAATAATAATAATAATAATAATAATAATAAAAGGCTACTAATAATGAATGTGGTGGGGCAACAGGGCCCCGAGCACAGAGTGTTTGATAGTACATGTAATATGATGTCAATATAATTGAAGTATAACACAAGCCAAACAAGCAGGAGTGGGCCGGGGGGGGGGGGAGGAGGGGGGCAACAATTGTCTAAATGGTTGTCCTCGAAAAAGCAAGAATTGGGGTGGGGGGGGGGGTCGAGAGTGCATGTGTATGTGTGTGTGGGGGGGGGGGGTAAGTATTTTACGGCGCTCGTAACTGCATACGGTCATAATTATATGGGCGCGCAGGACAAACTAAACATTTTAGGTTGGTGGGAAATTTTGAATTTTGCCCGGGCAGCGGCCGAAGCCTACTCTTATCGATTTTTAAACCTCAGGGATCTTTAACGTTCGCAACTTGCCTTTGTCCGAGAAGGCTAAGTACAAGATCTTTCCTACCAGAAGATCAGGAGTGTAGCTGAAAGATAACAGTAAGCAGGAGCCAAGCAAAGGCTGCGGAAAGATGAGTCAGGGGCCATAATCGTGAAAATGTTATGACATGAGCTGTCGCAGCACAAACAATTAAAGACACGTATACAGAGGTTTCGGGAATCAGCAGAACACCTTGAGATAACCTCAGCGTGACATCAGTGGTCAACAATTTAATGTTTTAATGTAGGCCTGCGAAGTTACCTCAGTAACATATAATATAATAATATGTATATATTTACTAACGACAGAATATTCGACAGAGTAGTCGAAACGAGAATTCAAACATTTTTATAAGCAAACAATGCCAACTCAATCATCAGCTATATAGAACCCTCTGACTCACCGATACATTCCGCTGGAACCGCATGTAAAACCAACCCAATGGGGAGTTTCTTCACAACCTTTACATATTCAGTAAGGGAGTGCTTATTTAGGCCACATGTGGCCTAAATAAGGTAAGGGAGGGGGGGGGTTTAGCTTATTTAAGCCAAAGTGGGCTGTGGCCTAAATAAGGTAAGGGAGGGGGGGGGGGGTTAGCTTATTTAGGCCACACATGCTCAAACTACCCTTTTCAGGCAACTGAGTTCGTTCCACTTTCATAATGGTGCACCTTTCTCATTTAGTACAGTTTTGTCTCAGTGTACAACTTATAAATTGTAACCAAAAAGAAAATTGTAAAGAACAAAGCACAATACGCAAAATTTTACTCAATCCCAATGATTTGAATGAGGGCCAGATTTTTCCTTCATGGAGGGGCAAAAGCTAGGCTACCATTTTGGCACACTTTGGTCAAGAGAAAAGGTCAATTCCTCCGAATGGACTTCCGGGTTAAATTTGGGGTATAAAAAGTGTGTACACTACGTGGCTGAGTCAAAGTTACACTATCTTTGCCTGAGTGACACTCTCTCGTACTGTCTCGTAGTAGTACATGTATAGGCCTAAAATGGTCTAATATCCGCCTATTGATATTATTTTTTCATGTTTATGTACATTTCAATACATTTGTTTTGCTTACTTCCCTTTGTGATTGAATTGTTTACCTTGACTGGGAACATGAAAGACATTGTGAGGTGATGGCGGAGGGTGGGGTGGATGTGTGTGTGTGTGTGTATGTGTGTTTATGTGTTTGAGTGTGTGGGGAGGGGGAATTGGAGGTTTGGCGGGCGGCATCTAGCAACCACAAAGCTCACGATCAGCTCACTGTTCTCTGCACATATTCACGCTTAACGAATTATGACAGGTCGGCGGACAGATACCGGAGTGTCCTCTCCCATCTCTCAGTCCGGTCCCCACTATGTAAGGGGATGCGGGAAGAGGGGGAGAGAGTGACACAGAGAGTGGGAGAGAGTGAGGCACGGAAGAGACAGACAGACAGACCGTTGGACTACCTGACGACAGTCCCTCTCTATCCACCCATGACCATCAATAATTTATATATAGTGACACCAGCCATCCATGTCCAAGAGCTGTTTTAGTTTTAGCCTCGTTATCTATCCTTGGACACCCTCTCTCTCACACCTTCCAATCCTCCACTTGAGGCTCCCTGTTGGTCCGACTCATCCCCCACGGTGCCAGGTTCGCCCATAAGTCCCCTCTCCGTTTTAGACACTTTCCCTCTCTCCAGTCACACCTTAGAACCCTCCAATTGAGGCCCCTCCTTGCCCGCCCATGCAAACAACCCGCCCTCCCCCACTCCCCAGAGATCTGTTATGTGATTATTACAACAGGCCCCCGCCGTCCGTCCCCCGACCACCTCCTACTTATGTACACAGCTATCACCACTGTGCTATGGGTAATATAGTTTTCTGTTCATCATGTCTTATCACCAGAGATCAATTAGAACTGACGATCGTTGGCCGTGTATGCTTGGCCATTTGTTAATACTTGACAAGCTCAAAGTTTATATGAAAAGATATGGTCTAATATCCGCCTATTGATATCATTTTTTCATGTTTATGTACATTTCACTACATTATTTTTGCTTACTTCCCTTTGTGATTGAATTGTTTACCTTGACTGGGAAAATGAAAGACATTGTGAGGGAATGGAGGGTGATGGCGGAGGATGGGGTGGATGTGTGAGTGTGTGTATGTGTGTTTATGTGTTTGAGTGTGTGGGGAAGGGGGATTGAAGGTTTGGCGGGCGGCATCTAGCAACCACAGAGCTCACGATCAGCTCACTGTTCTCTGCCCATATTCACGTTTAACGAATTATGACAGGTCGGCGGACAGATACCGGAGTGTCCTCTCCCTTCTCTCAGTCCGGTCCCCACTATGTAAGGGGATGCGGGAATAGGGGGAGAGAGTGAGAGAGAGAGTGGGAGAGAGAGAAAGAGAGAGAGAGAAAGAGAGAG